CTTAGTTCTAGATTGCTTCTCTCCTTGATTAGTTTCCACCCGTTGCTTCTTGTCCTGCCTTCAGGCGCTTTGGAGAATAGCTTGACTCCCTCTTCTTTATGGCAACCCCTGAGATATTGGAACACTGCTATCATGTCCCCCCTCGTCCTTCTCTTCATTAAACTAGACATACCCAATTCCAGCAGCCGTTCCTTATATGGTTTAGCCTCCAGTACTCTTTCAACTTTTGCCCCATCAAAACACAGAAGACTAGAATCATTTGGTTGGAAAGCAAATTATCAGAAATATTCCAATGGAAAATTCTCAGTGGATCTGTTTTCAAAGCGTGAAATAAAATGTTTTCTTTTTAGGGCACCCTACGATTTTAGATAAGCAGTCAGTGCTATAACAAAATTCTAGACAGATGTGAAGTAGGTTATATATCTACAAGCCATTGGATTTCCTCTCCTATTCTTTTCAGCAGTAAAGATAAAAGTCAATCATACAGCCATATGGTAAAGCAGTGCTAAAGATTTTATCACATGGAAGGGAAAAATCCTTCCTACATAGATAATATAACGTTTCACAAAAAATATCTTGCATTAAATGAAACATTTAGTATTACTCACTGTATATGAGCAAGCCTATGAACAATAGATGTAATTTATGTATTCAACACTGGTAACCAAATGGCTTAGTAAAAAGCAGAAAGCAATATTTTAGATTTAGAGACTGCAAGTAAAATTTTTGCAGAAATTATAAATCATATTACCTTTCTATAAATAGAAAACTATTCAAACTAAAGTGGGATATTATGTACACTTTAAAGTGGGATATTATATACACTTTTGTAATTTGCATATAATATGAGAATAAAAAAAATGAATATGACTTCATTGATAAAAATATTACAATTAGAAGTACAAAGAATAAAAATGTTTTATACATTCTATTTCCAGGAAGTAAATGTTGAATGTAATGGATGTGAAACAAAAGAAGTTATTATCTGTGTATATGCATAAGGAGTTTTCCCCTAAATTTTATTTTCATTTTTGTAAAGTATTTAGATCTTTTTGCATTGAACAACACATTAATTGTACATTCATATTCAAATTAAACTGAAAAGCAAATGTTCACGTGTTAGGGAATGATAATTCCTTGCTTTTGTTAAATAAAAAAAATGTGATCTTTGGGTCTTCCTCAAAGATTCAGGCAAACAATTTGATGGTAACCGTACATGTTGTTTTTTTTCCTGTGACCAGTATATTATGCACAATGACTTATGACTTTATTAATTGCCCAGCTGAAGCACAATCCATATGGGGTTGCATTGAATTACACAAGATTTTCTAGCCTTCTTTTCCTACTGCAAAACTTATGGATTCTGCAGAATAGCATGCAAAGTATTGCAAAGAATGCAACCAACTAGAGAGAATTGTGACTCAGAAAGAGCTGAACTACCACCTGCGGCATCCATTATCATTATCAGTCATGCTGCTGGGGATGCTGAGAACAGCAATATAGCAGTATCAGGCAGAATGTGAGTTTCCCCATGAGTTCAGGGAAAGAAAAAAGATCAAGAGTATATACAGCATGATTTCCCATTTGCAAATTGGGGTCATTGGATCCGATTTAACATATGAATATATAATATAAGTGATTTTTTTTTTTGCAGTCAATATTTTGTGAGCAAGAGTTGGAAACAAATAAACCCTTTGAAATGATGACTTATTTACTTGTGAGCCTGGGGACTGGCTAAAATACCTCCCTCTCCTACGCTAAAAGAGTTTAAAAACGAGGCTTAACTTCTTTGCTTTTTGACAATTCATTTACTCTATGTCTAAAATTCTGAGTTTTCTTTGCAATTCCACATTGTTCTTATGGTGTAGGTTAAAATCACCCCAGTTCTTACACCCACAATTTGAAATGCCGTATCTATAAATAAAATATCTCTGCCACATTGCAATGTTTCCTGAAACATTCCTGTTTTACTACAGCAATACTGTACAATGCAATTCCACCCCCCCCCAAAAAAGGAGGGGGGAGGAGATAGACTGGATCTTTACCTTACCTGACAATTCTTGTTCATCCATTCTAAAGCATGCAGGCTTCATTGTCATTTCCAGCACTCTGATACAACCATCATCTGAAGCTAAGATCACTTTATCTGATGTACACCAGTCAACATCAACTACACGGAAATTGACATTTCTTCCACTTCTTAAGCTGCTTACCATCTGGATCTAAAGGATATAGCAAATATTAGCTTTAAAATGATTATTGGGGGAAATTGGGTACTTTTCATGTTCAGCCATTTACCATTACTGTAAATATAAACCTAAAAGGATTTTGTGGATTACTAGTATTAATTTCTGCTTTATAATTTAGGGAAATATATGTCATCTCTACCGCTGAGCTTACCTTTTAGAGACCTCTACTATTCCCTGAACTAAAAAAAAAATCACAAAAGAAGATCTTCTTTCATTTCAAATGGTGATGTGGTTATTTCGTTTATTACCTTTTTTAAAATGCATATCGTAATCAATATTATATCAATATTATAACAAATCCCCATTTTAAAAAATGCAATTTTGGATAAAATGCAGTAATCTTAAATATCAAAATATATTTGAAAAATATTAAATAATGTTAATTGCAAAATAGAATAGAATCGGGACACACTATGGCAGAACTAAGGCAAAGCTCTTTAAGTGAGGAATGGCTGAAGAGCTCGCAATGTGACTATGGTGGTCTGGAACTAACTAACGCATATAGTTCAAGAATTTCTCCTCAGGAAATTTCAAGACACCTGGGATGATCTCATCACAGCCACACCAGAAGTATTAGATATCGAATTATAATCTATCCCATTGCAATTCTATGGTTTCATATTAGTTTAAATAGTCAGCAAATACATATATTGCATGACCTCTGCAGATAACATATGCTAAATAAATAAAATATTGCAAAAATGTCCTCTATTTTTGTGATTGATTTATTTCATTGGTATATTCTACAGGAGTTCAAAAAAGCTTACATTGATTCATTTTATTTTTCTCCCCAATAACCCTTTAATTGTAGACTGAACCTGGGTCTCTAGCATTTTATCCACCGAAAAAATGCTATAATAATCTGAATATTAGTATACTATCCCTAATTTGATTTCTATATGTAATCAAGAGGTTTACTGAATTAAAGAAGGCCTTAATTATCTAAGTGATATCTATGTCAATCAGTTAATTAAAAATTAACCTTATTATATTATAGAACAAATTCAGATGGGGAAAAAAATCAACCAAGTTGATACCTTACCTCCTTTGTATCCCAAACTTCAGCCCCATCATTGTATATTGCTATCAGCTTTTGGTTTCCTTTCCCAGGAGCAAAGCGTATCTTCCTCACCCAGCCTCGGTGGGTGGGGATACCCCTGGCAGAATATGAACAAGAAAAAGATGGGGAAACTGCTTATATCTGGGATGGGCAATTCATTTTCTCAAGAAACTGGGACTGTTGTGGATATGATGGATGGATATGGATATGGATATGGCCCACAGGCTATAAAACGCCCAGGCTTTTATAACCCTAACCATCTAGATGGGCATAATTGATTAAAAATTCTCCCATTGACTTTGCTTGTCAGGGCTGGCTGGGAATGTTGCAAATGATGATGATGTGACCTTAGAACACTGCAACTGACATAAATATATGCCAGTTGGCAAGCACCCAAATTTTGTTCACACAAATGTGGGGATGCCTTGATGGTCATAAGTGGGAGGACTGGTCATTAGGGTTTTTTCAGTGCCATTGTAACTTTGAATGAACAATAAACAAATAGTTGTAAATCGAGGAGACCTGTACTGTGTAGATCACCATCAAGAAGTCAGTCACAAGATACAAATCATTCATTACCTGGAAACCCTAGCTTTTAAATCCCAGAAGTTCAAATTGCCATCAACATCTCCCAGAACTAAGGTATCACCTTTCCATGCAATGCATGTAATACTGCCCATACTTCCCTACACAAATTTAAAAAGCAAAGATTAAAAATCAGCTAAGTAGTAATTTGAAATATACATAAACCTAGGTGAGGTAATTGCCTCTTACACACCCCAACTCCATCACTAATTAAACATATAAGTCAATTGGATAATCATTTAATAACATCAATTTAACCTCAACAATGGAATTTTAATCCATCTATTAATATACATATTAACCAGAGGGAATGTAGGGACAAGCAACTTCACTTTTAAGAGTAGCATGAGGCAGTAATTTAAGTTATGAATGAATTTCAGATGCATTTGATACAACACAAATACATGCTAGAGCAAGGGTGTCAAACTGCTGGCCCATGGGCCAGACACGTCACGTGGAAGCCACACCCACCCCATTGCCGGCAATGGCAAAACTGTCCCGATATGTTGCACATGACGTCGCGAGTTTGACATCTCTGTGCTAGAGAATTGTAGTGAGATTCTAAAGGTAAAGCTTTCCCTGTCCACTTGTATCCAACTCTAGGCACAGTGCTCATCTTCGTTTCTTGGCTGAGGGAGCTAGTGTGGTCAGAAGACATTTTCCGTGGTCCTGTGGCCAGCATGGCTACACGCCATAGGTGCATGGAAAGCTGTATCTTCCCATCAAAGTGGTACCTATTAATCTACTCGCATTTGCATGCTTTCAAACTGCTAGATGGGCAGGAGCTGGAGCACAAACAGGAGCTCACCCCGTTGCACGGTGCTCGGGTCTTGAACCTGGGCTGTCAGCTTTCCAGCTGACAAGCTCAGCATCTTTAACCGCTAAGCCACTGCACTCAGTGAGATTCTACCAACTTGGAACTGACAAAAAAAAAGTGTAACTGTTGTAATAATGTGGCAAATGTACCGCACAGTCTCAGGTTGCCCAATGATGCAACCTTTCTGGATTACTTAGAGCAGAAATTCAGATTTACTTTCAAGATCTAGCAACTGGCTTTGGAACCACACTCTGTAACATGACTATAATGGGCAAACTAAAGCAAATTCATGGAAAGCTGAATTATTTTTATTTGCATGTCAAAAATGAGATATTGCAGAACTTTCCTTCATTTTTTAATTTCATCAGTAGATGGACAAATGATAAAGAAAATAGAAACTTTAATTATATCTACTGATCTATAACTGTTGAAAACAGACATTCAGTGATGAACTTACATCAGGAGGAATTCTCGCACTGTCTTTGACAGAATTCCCTTCCACTGTCAAGTGATAAACTTGTCCATCAGTATCTGTAAAAACAAAGTGCTCCCGAGCAGAAATGTTCTGACTTAATTCAGATTTACTCTCTGCTTCCTGCAACAAGCTTTAAAAGAGAAAGCAGTGAGTGCTTCAGTCTATATCTGTATGTGCATATGTGTGCATATGCACAAATGCTTAAAACATACATCACAAAAAAGTAATCCTGTATTAAGAATTTACCATAAAGAAATATTATGACATAATACTATCGCTGTAAGCCCCCTAGCACTATTTTGTGTAAGATAGGCAGCCATATTTATTTGAAAGAAATAAGTAAAAATATATCAAATACAATCTGTAATATTTTTTTAAAAAAGTGGATTGATAAAATTGTATTTCAGTATTAAATTATCGCCTTATAATATATGAAATAGACAAATGATATATTTTACTGTACAACACATTTTAACATTTAATTCTTTCTGTTGCTCTCCAAATGCTGCAGCATTATCAAGTTGATAGCTGATTTAAATTACAATCCAGCTAAACCTTTTATTTTCATAGTCCAGAACTAGTGACAGAAATGCTAACGGGAAATAATTTTGGGCAGATGACCTCTCTAAGAAATATTTAATATGAATTTTCACTTAGATTGATACCTGATCATTGAAGACTCCAGACTGCTCTGCTCTGTATCTGATACCACTGTTTGCCTCGCCATTGCCTCACGAGCTGCAAGCTGCTTCTTTCTTAAACTCTTCAGATTATGAGAAGGGGACCATTCCTAAGAGAAGAAAACCCAGAACTTTCCACATATAAAGATTTATCACTAGAAATGTCACTCAAATGTATTTGGAGAAAAAAATGAATAATATACAAGTCACTACTGTAGTTTTTCTATTAATCTGAATTTAAAAAGGGAAATAATATATGGATTTATCCAAATGGATTTTAAGAACTCTTCAACCAAACTTCATGCAAGAACAGCTAGATAAAATTTGTATCTTACCAAAGCAGTAATTGTAGGGAAGTTTTTAGACATTTCTCTGAGAAGAGTACATGTCCTGATATCCCATAATTCCAAAGGTTTATCTTTGAATACAACTGCCAAATACTGCCTAAAATTGGGGGGAAAAATACTGAGGTAAAAAATACGTAAGAAAATTTCATAGCACATATGACTGTACTTCATCTTGTTTTATTTACTATCCTAGAATATCTATTTAATGGCTTTATAGAGCTCCTTATATAAATAATTTTAATAAGGTCTGATTTGGAGCTGCCCAGATTTAGTTTTAAGTTGGTTATAAGATAAGTAAGATTAATAATTTATCAAACCATATTGCTCCTAATAACTAAACCTTATGACACTGCTGGCAAAGACCTAGAGAAGCTTAAATTTACTTCTTTAAAGAGATGAAATTAACAATAACATAGCGTTTATGAAAAACAATTTATGAACCTTCCATCTAACGTTAACATGGGAAATAAAACAAGATATAGATTTGTGGATCAATTCTAGTATTACTTTGAAATACAATATTTTTAGTGTCGTATTATTGCAGAAAGCAATAGGAAATGGTTCTAAAAAAAGGGGAAAAGAATGAGAGTAATCCTATATGCTTTTTCACCTGAAAACCACTCATTTGAATGACAGGCAGCACTATGAAATGCAACAGTTTTTGAACTAAATATTCAAATTTATTTGCTTGAATTTTCAAAGATGATTAAACAACAGATTCTATATAAACATGTAAATAATTAGAGTAACTTTCTAAAGGAGTCGTAATATAACCAACTACAGAGATTTGCTTACTTCAAGTGAGACACCTTTATCATTTCAATTGCTGGTTCATCATTGCCTCGCTCCCCACGAAAGGCAAGACTCCTACCTAAGAAGATGACGCACAACATATGTAAACTATCTAACATGAACAAACATTTCACATTCTTACTTTAATCCCATTTAGATTTTCCTTTTTAACATTAGTTTCCAAGTCCCATTACATTACATTTTCTGTATTAGAAATAAACTCCAAACTAAGATAGTAGAACATGAGATATTGCTAAACTTTTGGCTACAAGCCATCCCATTTTTCACATTTTTTTTAACTTTATTAAGGGCCAAAGATCAGTATAAATTTTAATAAATGCAAACAATTTCTCTGTGATCTTGGACTAATCCTATCTGTTCAATCCTATAAGTACCAATGCTGAAAGTCTATTAAGTCTCTTATTCACACAAGCTACTTTTGTTACAGATTCATGATGTAATAACTTCTGCAAGAAATTACATATTATCTAAAGCTGTCCCAAAGAGCTAATAGTGATTCTCTTCGTATAAATGTTGCTGCATCCCTTTACATTCATTATATTGAAGAGCAACCACTTGCTCTCATTGATATTTATATATCCCAATTTACAATCAGTTTTGATCACTTTCATGGAAGCCACTTCTTTCAGAATGTTCTGCAGAGAATTCAGTAATTTCATATGTTGATAACTATATTGACTCTCCCATACTTATGGATACACCAAACTACAATTGTTCTTTTTGTGGTCCTTCTTTCTTCCCCACTAGTATTACATAATATAAAACTGTTTAAAATATTCTGGAAGAGATATATCAGAAAATATAATGCCATTTTCTATTTCATCACCTGTTTCCAAAACTGTACTTTCTTTTGATAGCAGTTTTCTTTACTTAGTGAGATTATCATACAAAGCAGCAGTTATAGACTATAGAGGAAAATTAAATTCTAGCCAAACAAATTTAAAACTCACCCAGATGAATTTAAAATTTAATCCACTTGAAAACTTTGCTGTATATGTGACATTTCTTAGTATTTGCTTCTTGCTTATTAAAAATAAAAATAAAAAATAAATATGAAAGGCACTATACCCGTGGTGGCAAACCTATGGCAAACCATTGCCCCAGTCCTAGGCCTTCAGCTGAGTTTTATAAAACCTTTTCGCTTTAGGCCTCTGCCGCCATGTGCAAAAAAAAAAGAAAAAAAGATTCAATCAATCCATCAATTTCAACTTCTTGCAGAAAAAAAAAAGATCTTGCAAAGTTGGAATTGATTGATTGAACTTTTTAGTCCCATCCAGTCTGCTGTTACCACTGCAGCTATGCCCACCCAATGGGCCATGCTCACCCAATGGGCCACGCCCACCCAATGGGCCATGCCCACCCGGCACCCGATGATACATAAGTGGGTTTTGGATTGCAGTTTGGGCACTCGGTCTCTAAAAGGTTCGCCATCACTGCACTATACCAATGTGGGGCTAAGTTATATGAAAACCATTGTGGCGTAGTGTAAAACATAGATCATTTAATCATAAGATCAAGGTCTGAATCCTAATTCAGATACAAAGACCAATGGTGAAGTGATGAATACAAGCAAATCAAACATTTCAAAGTTAGATCACTGATCTTTCTACTGTTAAGGTCCAAGCAATTATGCATTTTCACGTTTGCATCCACATATGGAAACATATTTATATCTTTCATTAATAACATCAGTTATCAGTGGGAGATATAAAACTGAGCAAAAGCTACAGCATCAATGCTAATATGTACAAAGAAGAACTGGGTGTTAAAAATTTAATGTTATAACAATACATTTATTAAGTCTAAGAAGTACTGAACTAGCAATCTTTTAAAATTAGTTTTGAATTTGTATTCTCAGAAAAAGCCAAAATACATTTCATGTAACAGTGTTCAATTGTTTTGCAGATAATGGCAAAATCTACCTATTTACGTCTTGACAAAATATGAATTTAAAATATACTGAACTTGCTGAGCTATAGTCATCTAAAATTTTTAATCTGTTTTTTTAAAAAATGCATTAACTCACTTATTTCATACCTAATTGAAATTCATCAGACAGGATTCAGTACAAATCCACTCTGCACAGCTAGTACATTCCTCTATTTTATCATCAGGTATTATATTGTGCAAAGAATTTACCTGTGGGAAGATCAACCATTTGCAATTCGTTTCTCACTAATCCCAAATTATTAGGTGTAGATGTAGCAAATGAAAGGAAGCCATTCAAGCCTGTCCATTCAATACCCCTATCAAGGAATAATATTGAAGTATATTATACAAGCATTTCGAATTATAGGAAACATATAGTTTAATGGGACAAGGAACAAAAATAGTCAATATTTTTGTAAAATACACTTTAGAATATTCAATGTTTCTCTTTAAATGAAAAAAAACCATCATCCTACCATGCCATGGACCACAGTGATTCACCATACAAAACTATTAACATATATAAAAATTATGTGAATAAAAGTAATAAAGAATATTTACAACAGTTTAATTCCAAAAAGACATAAAAAACTAGACCAAAATTCCAATTAAAAAAGGAACTCCCATTCTTTAAAGTTGTTCTATATAAATTGAGAATAGAGAATGATATTATTTTTTTGCAAACAATGGGATTGATACTGAATAATTACACTATTTTACTTTAAATAAGCTGCATTAATACTAGCAGTAACACAGCAGCTAACAGCAATAATTCAAAGAATATGTTACTATAAGAAGACATAAGGCAAGGATTATTATTGTTACTTCACATTCAATACTGTAGTAGATATTTTCTATTAAAAATATGAAGTCTCAGTAAAATAAATCTACAAATAAATACATGGATGGAAGCAAACTACCATTTGCATATGTATAATTTTCTTGCAAAAATAAATGCTATAATTCATTACAATTTTGAAAACAATGACTATTTCTAGTAGTATTTCTATTAAATTAAAAAAAAAGTTATTTGAGATATCCTGAAGGCTACAGTATAAAGCAAGCTCTGTATTCTCTAGCTGTTGTACATACCATTTTTTCAGAGGCCTATAGATCTAATTTGATTAAAAGCTAAACATGCAGCATGTATCATTGAACAAAAACCTGTATTTTTATGTAAATGGAGAATGCAAAATAAATTTGAAGCTTTTTTTTATCAATATAGGTATTCTAGTTATATTGGAAGTGCTCAAAAGCAGTCAATTTTCAATTTCCAAATTTCAAGTACACTGGCATAAAAACTGACATTTAATGCAATTAAGGGTCACACTACACTTGTTTTATAGATTACAATTCTGTGTTTAAAATGTAACACTTATGAACTTTATTAATAGCCTCTGCAGTGCATTTATAGAACAGAAAAATGTAGTCTCAGAGCTTTAAAATCTCTGAATAATTCAAGGCAATCTATTTCATGAGTAGCTTTATAGCAGTAAAGAAACAGTGAAGAAATCAAATTCCTTTGTTATATTCACCTAGCAGCCCCGGTAACTTTAGCATAGGTAGTCCTCAAACTAGGACAATAATTGAGCCTGGAATCATGGTTGTAAGTCATTGCAGTTGTTAAGTGTCACCACATGACAATCCCCAATTTTACTATTATTTTTTTTTGCTGCAATCATTAAGCAAATGCAGTGGTTGTTAAACGTGGTAATCATTCAGCAAACCTGTTTTATCGAATGGGCTTTTTTTTTTTGCCAGAATCCAAAAGTAAATACCAGAAACAGGCAAAAGCATTAAAAATCAAAGTCATGTGACTATGGGATGCTTCAAGCAGCATCTGAATTTTCCCAACATACAACACCAGTAACAATTAGAAGATGGCAGAGAATAGAAATTATGTAAAACTTAAAAGCAACACACAATGGCTACTTTTCCCAGTGACTTCTATGAACAATGCAAATTCTCTACATCAGGGCTTTTCAACCTTTTCACCCATTGTACCACTTTTAGGATATGGCAATATCCGAGTACCACCAGTCGCCTAGCAAGATGTCAAAAACTTGATGACAAAAAAAAAAGAAAAGAAAAGAAAAAAGTGATGAAGTACAGGTAGTCCTTGACTTACAACAGTGACTTCGCTTAGTGACTGTTGAAGTTACAATGGCACTGAAAAAAATGCCCCCCAAGCCACAGCCAAGCAAGACACCTGCCTGCCCACCTGGCAGTGCTCTTCCTCCTGTCCGAGGTTTTCATTGTTGTGAGCATTTCTGCAGCGGGGGTGGGGGGGTGTTTGGTTTTTATTCCCCCCATCTGCTGGGTGGTTGCAGCAGGTTTTGGTCACTTCACATGACCCTGGGACACTGCGACTGTCATAAATATGAATCAATTGCCAAGCATCTGAATGTAAATCACAAGACCCTGGAGATGCTGCAACATTCGTTGATCGGCGCTTCTTCTGGGCTCAGCAGAAGGGCCAGGATCAGCGCCGAGCTCCTGCTGAAGTCTGGCGCTGATCCTGGTGCTTCCACTGAGCCCTGACAGCCCTGCAGCTCCAGACATCTCTCACTCTGGCTTGTGCGGTGCTGCCACCGGTTCAGCCCATTCCCCTCCCCTGCTACCACTTTTCTAGGATGGTCGCGTACCACCTGCCAGGTGCCAATGTACCACAGGTGGTAACCATACCACTGGTTGAAAAGTCTTGCTCTACCTGTTTATTTCTGAGCTTGGTTGTTTCATTACCCAGCTAGGTAATATCATCAGTGAGAATAAGTGTGGGATTTGTTCCTTGTTTAGGTAGCTTTCTCTGCCTAAACACACAGTTTTGGTGAGGGTGTGGTTTTCACTTTGGCAGTTTCTTGATTATGGAATTGTTTTCAGCCTGATAATTTTGCCTGGTGTTAAATCTCTGCTTATCTGGATGTGGGCTCTTGGAGAAGTTGTGTTCTAGTCTCTTTTTTTCCCCTTCTTAGCCCTGAGATCACAAATGACTCAACTTAAAACATAAGGTACACACATAGGCCTCTTCTATATGTTTTTGGGAATGTTTCAGTTTTCATCTAGTTCTTGCATTTTGTCATCCTTAATACTTAAATAAGGCAAACTCTGATTTGATCTGCCGCATGCTACAGATAAGTGTCATGTATTATATGAAATGCTTTTAGACAAAAAGCTTTAAAAATGTTGGAATAAACTGTAGGATCTCTGCAGAGGCACAAAAGAATATTTATTATTGTCATAATCAGAAAATAACATAAAACTGTAAGATTATTGTGAGTCCCAAATCAGATAAGCAATTCACTGGGGGGAAAAAGTGATTCAAATAATTTTGCATGGCTTTAAAGGATTTTAGCCTGCTTATCTGACATTGTTCTAGGAACAGAAACATGCAGTAAGATTTTCGTGTCATGTTAGTTACGTGTTTAGTTCTTTCCTAATCCTTCCTACCTTTCGTCCTTCCTTTTTAAGTTTAGAATAAATTCAACATTGTACATAATAATAATACCAGTTTATTAAACCCTCCTTGGTTTACCCTTTTCTCCTTTTATTTACGGACTAAGGAAGTATTTCGGTTATTGAACCAAAAGAGAGAAAGAGGAGTCATATTAACTGACCCAATCCTGAAGGTGGCAAAGAGGCAATTTTATATTCAAGATCACATTGCTGTTTATGTATCTAAAGCATTTCTTAGTTCAAGTATTTTTAAAGATTTATAATTTGACAGATGATGAGACTGCATTTTCTTAATTAAAACTAGCTACATAACAGCAGAAACTTCTAAAAAAGAAATCTAATAAAGAAAATAATTTTGAATGAAACAGGCTTTTTGGAACACAGCCAAGCTTATGTAATTTCCTTATTCTAGCTGATGCTATTAAAAACATGAATAAATAAAGAATATCAAAAACCTCAAACAGAATTAGAAAGTTATCACCTCAGTTTGTCAGTGATGTATTGTAAAGTCCTGATCTATCCTTTTACATGAAAAAAAATAGTCACTGTATTTTGTCCTATAGGAAAAACAGAATGATTTTAAGCAAACAAATATAGGAGAACGTTAAGCAGTCTTTTTCCTCCCAGCTACTGAGTGTTCCTCTATTCAGGACCCCAAGCTCTGCTAGCTATTGGGAATAAGACATTTTTTTTAATGAGGAACAACAAAAAAAACTCCCTCTCATAAATGGTTTGAATCTTATTTGAATTGGGTAGGTCTGTCTCTATTGCAATGTACTAAAAAAAGCAAATTTTATGTTCAGGTTCAATTTGTAGTTACAAATTCAAATATTTACTATGCAAAATCATATTTATCAATCATGATTTTATTTAAGGAACTAAAATTATTTTACTGAAGAAATATCATCTCAGAAAAAGTCAATTGTTTGCATTAAATATTTTATTTTCTTCCCCCATCCCCTTCCAGGATCAACAACAATTAAAAGTAACTCACTTGACTTCACAGGAATGAATGCTTAATTCTTTGTATAGGTATCCACTAGTAAGATTATACACCAAGACCGAACCATTGCTTGTTCCTGTAAAGAATAATTTTCATTATGTATAAAGATGACAATTTATATTAATGTTTTACATTCAACTTTGCAAATAAAAATGAGTCTGTTGAATTAATTTTCCTAATTCTTCTACAGCAGCAATAGCAAATTACCAATGTGAGTTTACAAAGTTGATGTGAACCCTGTATATCAGAGGTCCCCAACCTTTTGAGCACCAGGGACCAGTTCCGTGGAGAGAGGTTTTTCTGCGGACTGGAAGAGGCATGGATTCATGTACTGCCTGATGGGGCTTTGCTTGTTTGCGCGGACCGGTTTTTGGCATGCCGTGGCCCGGTGTCAGTCCACGGACCGGGGGTTGGGGACCCCTGCTCTATATAGGCATAGATGGGTGCTAAAGAAAGAAACATCCTTAATGCTCCTAATTTCTACTTAATCAAGGATCAAGAAAGTATTCAAAGATAAAGACAATCTCTAACCTCCCAGGAAGATGTATAATTTATTCAAGGCAATTGGTAGGTATTGAACTTTCTGACACACTATTACAGAACATAAATTGTTCTTATTTATAAACAGAAGCTTTCTTAACACGATACAGAGTAATCAGGAGTAAATGTTTTCTTTAACCTGGATAAGAAGAAAATTCACTGTAGGGTCAATGGACAGGGATCACAGGAATCAGATGGTACGATAATACTGGGAAGATAATCAGCTCCTCATCATACAGCTTTAAATAACCCCTTTTAGCACTGATTCTGAATTCTGAAGTGCCACTCGAGAGAATTTCACCTGGCATTAATAATTAT